AATTTGCGAGGTAATAATTAGTTAATGATAAGGCACGCGGTGTCGTCATTGAGTCAAATACCATTTGAATGGATTCCTCCGTAGAGGCCTCATTGGGCTACCATATAAACAAGCTCCTGCTTAATTAAATTGTTGACTCATTTTGAATTAATTCGTGGTGGTGGCATTGTTTTTCCAGTGCCTCCAGTTTCGTTGTCTGACTTCGATCAATTTTGAATATTCGCGTGATATGAATTGTACAAAATTCCGAAATATAGTGATATTTTTCCTTGAAGACCGGACTTGGTAACATCGGTGATGATCATGCCACCATAAGTCCATAACAACTTTCAAGATTTCGATGATAGGTTAATTGTGCTTGGGTGTATACGTTTTCATATTTTACGAATCCTTTTAAACCTAGTCTAACCAACGTAACAGTATACTTCCAAGAAGATTTCGCTGAAATTTGTGAGTAGGGCTTTATATATTTCCATATTTCACCAATATTTTCAAACCTAGACAACCAGGGCGATTTTGCAACGAACGTAACAGCATATGTTTTGCGTCGCTCAATAAGAGTCGTTGCGTCACTTCCGGTTAATTCATATTACTCATTACCTCGTATGTTGGAATGGAATGTATTTCGTTTCGCTGACTTCGTACACTTTCCCGGTTTCTCTGTTGGGCGTAGGCTGTTGAAGTTTGCGTAATGGCGTGGTATAAAGATAGATCTTTGTGCGTGAGTATAGATTATAATAGATATTCGCTGTTTGTATGATAAGATCATTTGTATTTTAATACTAGCTTTTAGTTTAGGAGGGTTTGCATGTATGATTCCAATTTTCATTCCAATGGCCCTTTGCGTGGGGCACCTATTTGGCTGTCATATTGAAGTGGGTACACTTCGGCATGTAAGCATGGATTTCATGCAGGAATTGTTTCATGAATGATTTGAATCCGATTATGTGATATGTTTCTCAAATTGGACCAGCAGGAATTCATGGAAGGGTTTCATATAATGTCTTGGGACGCGCGCATAGTTGAGAATAGTATTGAATACTTATAACATACTCATACTCATAAGCTTTATCTATAGGATACTGAAGATTCCGCATATCATTGAATGAAAGAATCAGGAATTTAAAAGGTACTAATGCTCAAATGTTATGTGAGCCCTATGTTTTCTTTGTAATATAGGCGTCATTATGGAGAAAAGTGTTCCAAACATCCAATCTTTTGCTAAAAATAACTCTAACAAGTGTCAAATGGCGCTGGTATACATGGTCATGAACTCATGTCATGGCATGCCTAATTTATTACACACTGTGGCGTGATGTGAATGGATTATTACAACATTCGTTGCAATAAATTTCTCGCTATACCCCATTTCCTATTGCCTATTAGGTTAAACTGTTCGTACTTTTCCACTCGGGTTATTTTTCCTGCTATATTGTTTATTGGGAATCATTTGTCATTGGGAATCATCATATATATATAACCTCACGTGACTGCTTGCCTGAAGTCTTATTCATAACGGTACACCGGTTGTCAATACCGTTTTTGTGAGAGCATGTTCTGCACCATTAGCGTTATCGAAATGTCTTTTGCTGGTCTCACCCAGCCAACCTGTTCGTTTGTTTGTTTTGTTTTTCAAAATTATGATCGATTGCGTAACAGAATATATAGGGTGGATGTTCATTCGCTCAAAAGTATTGCAATTGGCAATGTTATAAAGGCTGAACCGTAGTTCTTAGATTAGAATGCGGTGTTGCCTATAGTTGTTATAGTATGAATAGTTTCAAATTCTTGTTCAAAGTTTCGTAGCAGTCCAATGCCATTGGATCGCGCCAGATATTATATTGAATGAGTTCCAGGAGAGATGTCATCGTTCCTTGGGCATGCACTGACTAGGTAAATCAAATTTCAGGCTGTTTTGAGACTACATCGTATATGACAACAGCCTGTTTTTGTTACCTCATCTGTGTGTCTTACTCTCAACATGTGGTTTGTGGTTCGGTAGAAGGGCCTACTAGTAGTCTTGAAACTTTGGGACTTTTTTGACTGCTGCTGCAAAGACTAGTTTGCTACATGACATTAGAATATGTAAACTAAGAAATGCGCTTTGTATATGTATATAAAATAGGTTAATTGTATGTGCTTTGTCCCTTCAGTCCGTAAAAGTTTCTGTTTATTTTATGTCCAATGCCATTCTGTGCTGTATACAATCCAGTACTTGTTGTCCGCAAAACCTCGGGATAACAGAGACCAAATTACACAGAAGTAAGCAAGCAATGGTTTCGCGCAGACTTGTTAAATAAAATGCCCTATAAATATCCCAAAAACTAACCACATACCGTACTTTTGCAATTTGGCAAAGAAAGCTCCGGTGCACATTAGTTACAAGATAACTTTTAAATTGTTTTTTTCGTTTTGGCGTCTTAGAACTACGAAATTGAAACTATTGTCCTGACATCTATTATTTTGCAATATCCACATGTGCATGTTACATATGCTCATTTATTAATTTAGCAATTGTATTGTGAAGTGACAACATGGCATGATAATTAACTAATACAGCTGTGTTTTGACATCATCGATTTTCGCGATAGATCATAGTTGAGACATACTCAATGGCGCTAAGCACCATCGGCAATACTTGTTCGACGGGAATTATACCAGTTAGTGGGTACTAACAATTATGGCTCATTAGCGAATGGATGTTATTTCAATATTTTCAGAACCTCAAAGACTAGATTATCCATTGAATTTGGTATCCTACTAACATCCCCAGTTCATGTGGTTACTTTGATAAATTGGCCCATTTCTTGGCTCAACTAGTTGAACGGAGATTCCAATTGTAATAAATCATCCTAAAATGCACAGAAATTTTACTTATTGGTGCTCATTTTTAACAGTGTTATCTCCGTATGTAAGCAGCTTTTCTCAGGTCCGGAAACGATTATACCATAAGGCTGACACCTTCCCCTTTGTTAGGCGGCTTATGCAACACCAAATGGTCGATTCATCCTAATTATCTCCATTTTGTTGTAGCAATATGCTTCGTATTTTCTGCGCAAAATATGGCAAATCTTTTGCATATGGGTGAAAAGCATTGTCTTTTTAGCATTTATATATTCGATCATTTTCGAGATTCTTAGTTAGTTTACGAAATGCGGTGAAACGACAATGTTTTTACGTTTGTAAATGCAGTAAGAAGGCGAAACATAACATCTATTTGGATATTCAGTATCCGAATATTTTGATGTCATCTGGAATTTTTTGGTTTATTTTGTCCCATTTCTCGTATTTTTGACATCCTTCGGTTAAAATGTAGTGTTTTTTTGCTGTTTTCATTCTACTTAAAATGCATGGCAGCATGCAACTTTTTGAATGCGAAATCAAACTGGGGTGTCGCCATCGTAAAGACTGCTCCTGTTTTATACTCATGTATGTATATATACATCATATTTGTGCGGAGACTTTTGCAATATCGATTGCGATTTGCGACTAGATTACAGACGGTACGGCGAAGGATGATAAAAATCAAGCTACATTTATTGTTTTCGCCAATTTTGCAATACTTTAAAGCTAAATTTTTCGAATTTGGCGAACGCATTTTTCCTATAAGCAGTGATCTCATTTAGGTATCCTGAAGCGTGATTTTCGTTTTTTATCGGCCACAATTTATCGTTTAACTTGAAAATGACTTGAATTGGTCAAGTCTGTAACTAACCCACCCGATCATTTCGACAAACTTTTCGGGGTACTAATACCACGCACTACTCTGTACCGCAAGGATGTGGGTTCTCATTCATTTAATTACTATATTTACCCAACTTGTTATCGCGACCATTTCTCAAGAGATTGGCAAATAGGGCGTTTATTTGCGCTTAAACAAGAAATACGTGTTTTGATTAAAACCACACAAAAGACAAGAGAATCGACCAAGTAATCTTACATTGTAAAGTGATGGATTGCTACGTATGATAGAGCTTTATTACTTGTTCACGTTTGGTCCTTCACTTGCGGTATTGAACCATTTTATGAAGATTTTCCAAGTTAAGAAATATTCAAATTTCTATGCTTCGCCTGATATAGGCCCTTCGACACATGTCAAGCCTATCTATGGACGAAGAATGTATTCGAAACGAAGTTTAAAATTACTGACATTGCAATTTTTTTTAACATTTTAAATAATCTAAAATACTAAATTGCACTAATTCTGATTGAAGTGATTTTTTTTTTCATATAAATTGAGCTTCTGTATTAGTTTCCTATCATATATATTTATTTGGAATTAGTATAATTCCATTGATTATGCTTAAAAAAATTTAAACGACCAATGTTTGATAAAAATGCGACTTATAGTTGTCTTAAAAACTATAAATTGACTTTTATTAACTGTATCGAGTATTTCTTCGCTAAGAACCATTATCAATTCATGCTTGGGCAGTACATAAATGATACGGTTGTGCATAATTATTTAAAACTAGACGTTGTTCCGACTACTGTCAATCTGCTTGCAGGTAAATCTTTCAGCTTGTTGTCATGACAATATAAAGAAGCTGTATGCTTTACCTAAAGGCTGGTATGAGTCTATCTTCACGCGGGACAAGACGGCTTCTTTAAGTTTTACTCGGCAATCTCGGATCCGATTTTCCGTGCTATGGCAATTTGGGTAGTGCACGAAAAGTTTAATGCCTTGATATTTGGCAATGACTATTTCACTTTCGTTCCCCAACAATTCTATATATCAAAATATGCTAACCTTTCATTGGTTACCACGGATCATTTTGCGAGGATGCCGTATTTGAAGCGCTTGTAGGAAAATGTAATAGAGTTATTCGTTCTTGGTTGGGATTTTGTATAATTCGTCAGGGAAATGTTGTTTTTTTGAAAGTGGTAAATTAAAATTTTATTTTTATAAAATGTTGCGACAAAATATGTATCGAGACACTATAAAATGCAATAATTTTACAATGATAGTAATCTTCACGTATTTTTTAATTTTTTAACAGTGAAGATAATCGTATATTACTGTGGGATGTGAGACAGGCAAGAGGCCATCTGCTGAGCTTCGATCAACATAATGGAAAAGATAGAAAAAGCAAAAAAGGTAGAATTATTTTCATATACTTTTGAAGGAACTAAACTCCTAATTGGTGTTGTAAGTAAAATAACATTGGTGAATTCAAAAATAGAATTTTATCCATGGTTTTAAACATCTTGCACTTATAATTTTATTTCCCTACTCCAAAGTCGCTCCTCGTCGAGATAGGCATTGAATTTATTACTGGGCAGACTTTATATCTGAAGGCCTACTTATATTTTTGTGTTACCATGTATAGGGGCCCTTACTTTTTAGTATCAAGTTACCTGTGAGAAGAATAAGTTGAGCTTTGTGCTCAGAATACTCAAGGTTTAAGACAACTTAAGTCGGATAAAAGTTACTTATTATCCAAGATTTAACTGGAGGGACCTCCTGAAGTATGCGCACCAAGATGGCGCACAACGTGAACTTAGGGTTAGGGTATGCGACATCTTGGTGCGCATACTTCATGAGTACCGACTAGGTAGAGTCTATGTCAGTGTTCCCCAACCCGAGTCCGCGGTCTCAAATGAGTCCGCAGAACGTTCGAATGAGTCCGCAAGGACCAAATTAGAAAGTTATGTAGTAGAATATTTAATGTAAGTCACTAACCATTTCAGTGTCGCCATATTCATTGCGGGGCGAAAACGTTTTTACCAGACTTAAGTACCAGCCAAATTACGATTTACGTTAGTATTTACATAAAACATAAAAGGCAAGTGGGACTGGGCAAAATATTCGAACAGCAAACTATTGGAATACCTGGTAACATGTGACTTGGGCACAGCAGGTCAATCGCGATGAATCAAACGATTAAATTGCACAACGGACTCGCAGATTTCTGACAAAAACACGAGTTTACACGTACTTATCGCTTCCGTTAAGATTGAGTGTTATATTTGTGTTTTTCATATATTTGTTTCCTGTAACACCATTGCTACATTTTTAAATTATTTTACTGTGCGCCAATATCGTATGAATTTCACATCTTTTCAGTGGGCCATTTGGTAAAATTCAATTCACCAATACAAATAACAAAGATGTGACATTTCAAAAATTTTCGAGCGGATATATTAATTTGAATATGAAATACCATTAGCTGAGTTCTATCAGATTTCAATGGATACGCAGTAACAACATTTCGGAGGATTTGTTTCGAGGCAAGAAAAAAACATACGACTCGATACAGACAGAAAATGGCAGCGAATTCAGGAACCAGCCATAAAGATATTGTAATTTTTTAATTTTACGAAGGCGTTATTTGGAAATTTCAGTTGCAAATTCCTTCGTATAATTTTCCTCAGCGAATCGTCGCCAGTGATCTCATAAAATCTTTTGAGTTCGTCAGAGCGAGCAGTTCTCAATGTCTCAATAATTGAGCACCCTCGCTATGATTTCGATTGAATTTTGTAAATATGGATTATAAACGTACTTCGTTAATATTCTGTTGTTTTTGATTTTATTGCTCCTTCACACAGAGTTCGGTTTTACAGTTACCGCACGTTGAGTCCGCAAAGATTTTCCCTGGTGTGAAAATAGTCCGCGACCGAAAAAGGTTGGGAAACACTGGTCTATGTTGATTGATTTCCCTCTTGGTTTGACACAGGTCACCAAAGAGAAATTGAATTGTTTTAACTTAAATTTGTACGTTTTGCTTCAATAGTCATATTAGCTGTACAAATCTTCGTTTAACAAGTCTATTCTCAGTATTCCTCAATGTATCTTTTGTTTATAGGAAGTACTGCCCACAACGGTCACGTAAACGGTATTTGCTTCTCAACCGATGGGTTGTTCATGATTTCAACCGGGACAGACAACAGATTGAGATTATGGAATGCTACCACTGGTGAGAATAGATTTGTATACTACTCAACTAATTCAACATCGTAGAAAGTGATAGAATAGAACAGGGGTGGCCAACACGTCGATCGCCACCCACGTCTGGAAAAGCCGATCGCATCTGATGTTGAGTAAATTTAATAATATACCCCAAAAATTGCCTTGCCAGATTCATGCAGCGCCTGATGTGTGTTTTAAACAGGAAGAATACAGTACTGTAGCTTACATGTGACAAATACGATATACACATACAGTATTCGAGTACGGGCAAGTCCGATCGAGCCTATTATTACGTAACAAATGCAAGTTTCGCCGCTGCTAAGGTTCAGGAATGAACGTGCTGAATATCGTGCGTCTTGACTGAAAAACGATCCTTTTAATAACTTCTGTATGCGAAGGTTATTGCCTCCCTCCAAGAATAGTGTGATGAATTTTATTCGCATCGGTGGGTGTGGCATCAGAATGCCCATTTTTTTTTTAATTCCAAGCGAGCGAGGAAGCGAACTTAGAGGAAAATGTAATTAGAGACTGAAGTTGAAGTTTTTTGTGGCGATTTCATTAAGAATGCGCCCACAGAGCCGAGCTTATTGGCAGCGGTGGAATTTTTGTATTGCATGTGTGTAGTTATCTGCATATTCAGTCCTTGTTTTTGTTCATTATATATTCGATATAGTAAATTCAGTATATAATCATCTTTTCATTATTTCCAGGCCAAAATACGCTTACTAATTACGGAAGAATAGAGAACAGCTACAAACGTCCGGTACAAATGTCCTTCAACACCGATTCTAACACAGTGTTTGTGCCGAGTGATCGCCATGTTCTACATATGAACGTCCAGGAAGGAACTTTAGTGAAAAAATTATCAGGTCATTTCAACAGACCTACATGCTGTGAATTCAATCCTCGCAATCAGGTATATGCTTTGTTCTGCAAGTATTAATTTCCATCCCACAGACGAACAGAAATACGTGTAACGAAGGCCGCTCGTCCGACTATCTGGTCATGGTTTTACTAATCAAAAGTTGCTAGGAAAGAAAAGCCGATTTGACGGGTTAACCATACGAAAGCCATGGCCTCTCGGATGCATAGACAAAAATGGTGAAGAACACTGTGCCGGAGTTCGTCCCAACATTTTTAATAATTTTGGAATAGCTCTAAAATGGATAGAAAAACCTCCCGACTCAACAGTGTCCGCTTCCATTAAAATTAACCCTTTTTACTAAATTTGATCGCCAGTGTTTTTAAACTTAATACTGTTATATTGCTTATTCCAGGAAATGTACAGCGGTGGACAAGACGGCAATATACTCGTATGGGGAGCGCCATCTACTTCTATCGGTGACGTGACTCTACCAGCAACAAATCAAGGCTATGATAGGCTGAGATCTGTTGTTGAACCCGGAAACGAACGAACAACTGAACCTCGCCCTACAGTCGACCTCACGGCTGACACTTGGAGCGACGATGAAACCGATGGATGACAACACAGACCAATGGCAGCGAAGAAGGAAATCGAAGCCGTGTGACGTCACAGTTGGGCATGACACGTGATGTGATAGTGTCAGCATTGTTAATATTTGAGGTCGGAGAACTTGAACTAAAAACTTAACTTTCAACTTTAGTTCGTATCAGGACATAAAATTGGTTGTAGGATAGATAGAAATTATATATTCATACCAGGGGTGACGAAAGCCGATAGACGGCCCAATCGTTGGCGAATCACACACGACCTTTATTCCGCTTACCAGTCCATGTCGGGTATGGGCATAGTTAACCAGTACTTTGTTCCAGATTCATGGACAATAGTTATACAGTAACTGAAATAAGGTAATGAAAATTAGAGAATTAGACTTCGCTCGATTACTTACTACCTTTTTATTCTGAAGTTATTTTGAAGCTTTCGTTACGTTAACCTACCAAGCACTTGTTTAATCATTATAGTATATTTTTGTGCTTTCGTCAAATGCGATTAGGTTTTTCGTTCCATTTATACCTCAGAGAGAGGATGAAGATAGATAAATCTTGTGGCGGATCATATGGTTACCCAGTCGAGGTTGGACAATTCAACATGTGATTGTTGCTTATTTTTTCGCCTTGCTTCGATTGAATGGTAGCTTGGTAGATTATTGAAGTGCCCTATAGATACTTATGTTAAATGGAATCCGCTACATCGTCTGAAAATTATGAATTCAGAACCAAAGCGAGTTTAGCGAATAAGATGGAGATGCATCTATTTTTTTTTAATTCAATTTTTTGTAGAATGTGTTCAATAAATCAGTTCCACTTTCGTACCTTTTTAATTATTACTCGAAACTGTGCTTTGTATTTTTAAATTAAACCAAATCATGTGAAAGCTTTTTACTTGCTGGTGTTGTAACGAAATTTGGAGACTTAGAATCGGGAGTTTTTTTTTTCTGCTGGGGAAAAGTTCTTGTTTTATCAATAACTGAAAATAGCAGGCTTGGTACATACTGACGTCAAATTTTCGGTTTTCATGACGTTCGTTCATAACACAGAAATTCAGGTCCGGATTTTTTGAAAAACTATCCAACTTATTACGCTTCCGAGGACCTGATTATAGCGCTCACTTGATTTATTTTGCACACATTGTGGTATGTATTTAGTTATGGAGACTAAATGTAGCTTTTCCGAAATTGTAGTAAGTTTTTTCGTGCTGTCAGACCTGATTGTATTGCTCAGTGGGCGCTCCAGAAGTATGTGTACCAATATAGAGGTAACTAACTTTGTTCGCCTACTTTACATCAAGTTTTGCAATTCACTTGGCTAACACAAGCGTCCCCGAACTCGTAATAGAACTAAAATATGAAAAAAATCAGAATAAAATCATGGCCTAACTCTAACCGGGTACACACACTGCGGGAGTACCGCCCAATTATTGTGTTGCCTAACTCATTTGAAGTAAGAACTAGAAAACTAAGGGTATGTGCATGGTACGATTGGTGGTTAAATCGATGTGTAGGAATTGACGACTTTACTCCTAATGGGATTTGACCATATAGCATATATATTCCAAAATATTGTAATTCGAGAGTCTGGCGCAAATTTGAGTTTGAGTACACCAGAGAAATACCAATCTGACGGCGCTCCAGAAGAATGTGTACCAATATGGAGGTATCTGATTTTGTTCGTCTACTTTACATCAAGTTGTGTAAAGAGGGAAAGCTTATGGGAAGGGGGTATATTCACTTGGCTAGCACAAACAGTCCTCGAAATAGAACAAAAATAATGAAAATCGAAATAAAATTATGGTCTAACCTGGTACACGTACGACGGGAGTACCCATCTGACTGCTCTATGAATGAATCTTCTGGTACAAATATCGTCTTTTTCATCGTTCAACGTCCGACCACTTGCCACAAAGTATATCGAAAATGGGCGCTCCAGAAGTGTGTGTACCAGTATGTAGGTAACTAATTTTGTTAGCCCACTTTACATCAATTTGTGTAAAGGGACTGCAACATATGGGCTTGGGCCTAACCTGGTCACACACTACGGGAGTACCCGAAAATGATCCATCTTTGTTGAGTAACATTCCTGATTATTGGATCATTCCTGCTGCGCTCATTCAATTCGGACACGTCGAATTCATCTTATGATTTCAAACGAGTAAGCTATCAAGATTATATATGTATATACGTGACTGTCTTGACCCGTCTTTAGTTTTAAAAATATATTCTGGCGGGGTTTAGCTTAACAGTCGCGAATGTGCGCACGCGAGAAGCAGTTACCAAAAATATGCGGATATCGACCATAGCGGACAGGTGAGTGAGGTATCAATTAAAGAAACATCTTTCTATTACGGAATTCTGACTGTGAAAGCGCTCAAGGATTCCATGTTCAATACAAAATCTTCGTCCTTACGTTATACAGCCGTAAGGCGTAGAATCTTAGGCATCCCAATGTACAGAATATAGAATGTCCCAAAATAAATGAAACCCACAAAATTGGTAATCGTAGTAATGGGTTTCATTTATTTTGTAACAATCTTTATTTCATAAATTGACTGGTGTATATTAGGAAAATAAACATGGGTAAAACTATTAATTAATGCCGCAACTAGTCATCTGACCTGATTTCTTTGATATTGTTTCGGTTAGGATGAGTTCGGATATATATGTTATTGCCCAACCCCAAGTTAATCTAACGCATTTACTGACGCTTGTCTTCAGCTTTTAATTTCTCTTCAAATTTTCAGACGGGTCGAGTGGCACCCTGTATGTATTGGCAGACGCTCATGATACATAGACATATATAATTTTATGATAAGATATATGCATCATGCGTCGCACCCTTGTTTTCTTTCCAACTACAGAATATAGAATCTAGAATCATGCGTAAAAAAATAATTTACTCATAAATCATGATGATCATCATCGACAAATCCTGGTAATATGACATGTGGAAAATTTTAAGTCTCGTTATATAATTTAATGATGCGACAACACTTCATAAGCTACCGTACATAATATATACCATAAAATCAGGTAATGTCGTATTTTGAGTCATGCTAATTATGGTAGAGAATACCATATTATTATGACCGTGAAAAATAAAAATTAAATAACGATGCTGCACGACCTCTCTCCTGGGTTTGTATTTGGCGAAGTAAACTATATGGGAAAATTCAGTTACGAATAAATGTTAGTGGTGTTAGTTCAAGAATTACTTTATCCACGCCCTTCATATAAGCTTATTTTGACAGGATTAGAACAGTAAACATAACAACAGTATATAGCGATTATGAACAACCGTATAGGAAAGTTTCATATCCTCCGCCGATCATAATTGTGAATTGTAGACAAGGTAGGTTCAGTTTCTTACCGATCATTTGGCTCCCTGCTTGAAACCTTACTGTACCAAATCGATAAAAAGGCATGGCGGTCGTCGTAGTTCTATATGGACAGCAAGATGGTAGTACCGAAACGAATCATGGTCAGAGTGGGTATTTTAATTAGAATTTTTTGATGACTGATGTGGTTTAAGAGTGGCTTGTAAAATTTAATAACATTCGGGCCTATTTCATGATATGTAGTTCAACTATAGATAATCTTCATATGCTACCGATTTAAATTTAAAACTTTAAATTATCTCCGTAGTAAATAGGTATCATCTATATATAAACTACAACACGGCAAATTTCACCCTGATATCAAAACAATATTTAACAGAAAAAAAGAAATAATAACCACAGAAATAGTGAATATATATATCTGATAAAACTAAGGTGTGACATCGAAAATAAATTATTCAATTATATCTGGAGTTCCTATTTATGCACGGAAACTTTGACGAAGAAAATGTGAATATATATATATAAATGTTTGTTGTATGCTACTTCATCCAATAGCGCGATTGCGGCGGGACCTTTGTTCAGAAAGAATCAATTAAGTAATTTTCGGTCTGCAAATAATTTAGGTGACCAAATTTAGGAAAATTGCAATGCAGGCATTACAATTGTGAGTTCCTTGTTCTATTCAATTAGCTTGACAGACCAATTGGCGCATGCCGTTGAATAGACTCATATTAATCCGACGTCGGATTTGTGCGTCAAATTGTTTTCAGTAATTTAGCCGAAAACACGCGTTTCTATACCTTAGTTAGTTTATTAGTACCACGTTCCATCTAAAATTATGCAGAATGTCACCGACATTGCGATGAAGGCGCGAATATTAACTGCATCGAGAAATGGGCCATAAATTGCGGAGGTATCTAGATCAAGTCCATGCATCTGAAATAAATACCGTACCTGATTTTCTATGTCCGACGTGTACCTGGTGTTGGTCCACGGTTTGCCATATGAAAAAAAGCGTCTGTCTTATCGGCTTCCACTGAATAAATATGAAAACTCCTATGGTCTACTGAATCGACTCTTTTTGGGCTCAGAATATTCCGTTATTTAATTGGAGTCACGCAGGTCCGTGATTGCTAAATTAAGCTGCATTGCTTTTTAGCTGGGATCAATTGGGTGCGTCATACCGATTTTTGATAGCTAGATTAACGTTCCTTTGCGATAAAATTTCACGCATAATCTTTTAATTTTCCCGCGAATGGTTGAATTAAAGAACGTTTCGAAGCATGAATCATGTATATTTATTCAATATAGAAAAAGGTAGATAAAAATCGCTTAAATACAAGATGTTCCGAAACGCAACTGCCTATTATGGTCTATTCCGTTTCACACATTTGAAAGAATACACCGGGGATATTTGATTACATCTTGAATATTATATAGTGACTACTCAATCACGACACCGGTGACCTCAGGTATATATATCGAAGTGCACTGACGTGTTTGGAAATCAGTTAGATGTCAAACGAAACGAGGGCGTAAGATGACCTGATAACTTTTCGCTGTTTAAAAATTGGAAAAAGCTAACCTGCTTTGAATAAGCTGGCAACGGTGGCAAACAAAATTATCGTTCGACTGAAGCGCGTTTTAGTTGGATTCTCATCAGAATATCCGCTAAAGACAGCAATTTTACCTGACTATGGAGAAAGTTACATCCAATTTTCTGTATATCAACTTAAATTTTACAATATGCGCCTATTTGTATGGCAATGTAGCTCATAAATATATAATGCACTGTAACAGGATAAGACAGGTAAACCTCAGATTTGTGTATTACTTGTGTATATAATACGAGGAAGTTTGTCCAGTTAAAACACAAAAAAAATTGTGATATTCGCAAATACTTCAGAGTAAGGGGAATTGACATCAGGTAGTTTAGAATTTTGACATTTTAGTCATAGGACAACATTTCATGGCGTGCCGTATGTAATGGTATGCAAATTTATTCTTTAACATACGCTAAATTGAGGTCCAGAAACGAAAATGCATCAGGTCAGAAAATGTTTGAGAAATGCAGAAGAGTGGTTGAGATATTGAATTTACTCAGCTCAGCAGAAATTGATAACGATAGCGATATGCCAAACATTCCCTTATTAAAATTCCCTCCGCTCATAAAAAAGCTGTATTGCTTATTGCTTTCACTTTAATACAAGGCCAACATGCAATTATGATACAATTACCTGCGGTTTCAAGAGTGATTATTCTTCTTTAAAATTTTTATAGTTTATTGGCGTAAAAGTTGAATGCAGACTGCAACTATAAAATTATTTTCTTAAAATTTTTTTATTCGACAATCCTGCACCCAGGAATATTTTTCACTGAATTCTTGTTTGTGGTTTTCATGTTATGGGACAAAAAATCACTTTTCTGTTTAATTTCTGAGCCAATCGTAAAGACGGAAGCACCTCATCAGACTCGTGTCTTATTAAATTAGCCTATTTTTAGTAGTTCTGAGAATAATTGCGCCTACGCGCCACATAAACTGTGA